AAGGAAGGAAGGAAGGAAGGAAGGAAGGAAGGAAGGAAGGAAGGTAGTTTCCAAAAACTTGGCCAAGGTGCATTCAGGATGGGCCACCCCAAGTCCTCATTGGTTCCTACTCTAACTGCAGGTTTACTTGTATGGATTTTACTTTCACCAACAGAATAGACAAAACAATTTTCCTTAGTTCCCTCAGCAAAATTGAAGGATATTCACATTTTCAAAAGAACTGTACTAAATACTAAGAGGAAACAAACAAACAAAAAACTCAATTACATTTTCTACAAACACATGTATGTATGTGTGTGTGTGTATGTGTTTTACTTTTCTCTGAGCTAATACCTTTACCTTTATTAATTCATTTCTTTAATATGCTTTTTGGCCTCTTCTTGCAATTGTTTGTTTTACACTTTGTGTTGAGTGTGTAGTTTTGTAAGATATCTAAAGTACTTAGTGGAAAAAAAGGGATCAGGTAAAAAACAAAGATAGATAGATAAATTAGATAGATAGATAGATGATAGATAAACATAGATGGGTGGATAGATAAATAGTTAATAGATAAGAGACACATAGATATAGACAGATAACAGATAAATAGATAACAGGTAGTTATAGATAGATGGATAATAGGTGAACAGGTAGATGACAGATGAGTGATGGGAAGAAGGAAGGAAGGAAGGGAGGAAGGGAGAAAGGGAGGAAGGAAGGAAGGAAGAAAGGAAAGAAGGAAGAAAGAAAGGAAGGAAAGAAGGACTTTTCAGAACTTTTGAAACCGAGATAACTACCTCCAGGCCAAAAGAGATGATATCCTTCCCCCCCAGCTTCTTCACTTCACCTAGTAGACACTGGTTTTTTTCCACCACACAGAAGTCCATGAATGGCCTGTCTTGCTCTCTTCTCTTGCACTACCATTTCTCAGGACTCTAAGGACTGTAGTGATTAATGTAATCAAAGCTTTTACCCTCTCTGGCTCAAATTACCAGCTCTGTCTGCTTTTAGACCACTTTGTAATTAAACAAAAACCCCTTAAAATGGTCTCATCCATCACAGACTCAGAGTATCATAATACCTTGATATTACCTTCATATAGTACATGTCTGTACATATCTACAGCAAAGGGAAATTATGTCCTTAACAAGGAGAGTTTTGATGCTATCATATTTCTTGCCTCTATCCCCCTTCATACTTCATAAAAGGCATTCAGAGGCATCCAAGAAATACTTGAGATGAACTGAACTAAAAACATTTATATCCTTGTCTCATGTATTGGATTTCGAATTA